TGAGCTTCTCAAGAGAGAGGCAGAAAACCAGAATTTAAAAAAGCCTTTTACAATGTTAAAAGCCACATTCTTACTTCTATCACAGTTTTCTATTGCTTGGGCAGCTTGTGATGGTTTTAAATATCTTACGTATCCCAAACCTTTACTTTCTCCAGTGACTTTATTCTTAATAATGCTGCAATACTCGATATCTCCATACACCTATAAGAGTAAAAAGAAATGATTTAGGGGACTCAAAATTAAGAATTCAGCAGGCTATTTCAGAACTAACTTAAAATTTATGATTGTCTGTGCCTCTTGCATGCAAATAAAGAAATTCTTCAAGTATGTATAGAATTTCATACTGTTTGTTTCACAGACAAGGAAGCTAGGCCTGAGAGAAACCAAGTTAACTTCCTAAGTCACAGAGGAACTAAGTCCTGGAGAGAAAGAACTTGTAAATGGTCTCCATAGCTCTAGCAATGGTTAAGGGCTGGGCTCTGAAACTGGACGGTCTAGATTCAAATCCTGACTCAGTCACTTACTAATTAGGCAGTTTACTATCTGCTCTGTGCCTGTCTCTTTATCTGTTGAAGGGGCAAACAGCAGTACCTACTGCTTTCTTTTATGCAGTAAGGGTAAGGATCAACTCAGAGCCTCATACTTGCTCACAACTTGAGCCTGCCCCCAGTCCTCACAGGACTGTTTTATGTTTTAAATGAATTAATCTATGCTAAGTGCTTAGATGGAGCCTGGGAAATACTGAACACTCATCTTTAGCTGCAATTGTTTATCTGTTTTCTAATAGGAACATAAATGATTGGGTATACTTTTGAAAGAGAACAACTCAAAATACAGCTCCAAAACACAATAGTTCACTCAGAACATGAATACTCTGTGAGAAATATGCAGTAATTAATTTTTTTTGACGGTACTGGGGTTTGAACTCAGGACTTCCCGTTTGCTAGGCTGATGCTCTACTACTTGAACCACTCAGTCAGATCAACATTTTTCCCCCTTTATTCATTTATTCATATGTGCAAACATTGTTTGGGCCATTTCTCCCCACTGCCCCCTGCCCCCTCCTTGTCCCCCTCCAACCCCTCGCTTCCAGGCAGAACCTCTTCTGCCCTCTTCTCCAATTTTGTTGAAGAGTAGACATAAGCAATAACAAGAAAGACATAGCATTTTTGCTAGTTGAGATAAGGATAGCTATACAGAGAGATTTCTAGCATTGCTTCCATGCAAATGTATATTACAACCCAAACTGATTCATCTCTACCAGACCTCTCACTACTTCCTGGTCACCTTCCCAAATTGACCTCTGTTGGTTTTTTTTTTTTTTGCCAGTAATTTTTTTTTATTCATATGTGCATACAAGGCTTGGGTTCATTTCTCCCCCCTCCCCACCCCCTCCCTTACCCCCACCCCCCTCCCTCTCCCCCTCACCCCCCAATACCCAGCAGAAACTATTTTGCCCTTATTCTAATTTGTTGTAGAGAGAGTATAAGCAATAATAGGAAGGAACAAGGGTTTTTGCTGGTTGAGATAAGGATAGCTATACAGGGTTGACTCACATTGATTTCCTTGCATGTGTGTTACCTTCTAGGTTAATTCTTTTGATCTAACCTTTTCTCTAGTTCCTGGTCCCCTTTCCTATTGGCCTCAGTTGCTTTAAGGTATCTGCTTTAGTTTCTCTGCGTTAAGGGCAACAAATGCTAGCTATTTTTTAGGTGTCTTACCTATCCTCACCCCTCCCTTGTGTGCTCTCGCTTTTATCATGTGCTCAAAGTCCAATCCCCTTGTGTTTGCCCTTGATCTAATGTCCACATATGAGGGAGAACATACGATTTTTGGTCTTTTGGCCAGGCTAACCTCACTCAGAATGATGTTCTCCAATTCCATCCATTTACCAGCGAATGATAACATTTCGTTCTTCTTCATGGCTGCATAAAATTCCATTGTGTATAGATACCACATTTTCTTAATCCATTCGTCAGGTGGGGCATCTTGGCTGTTTCCATAACTTGGCTATTGTGAATAGTGCGCAATAAACATGGTGTGCAGGTGCCTCTGGAGTAACTGTGTCACATCTTTGGGTATATCCCCAAGAGTGGTATTGCTGGATCAAATGGTAGATCAATGTTTAGCTTTTTAAGTAGCCTCCAAATTTTTTTCCAGAGTGGTTGTACTAGTTACATTCCCACCAACAGTGTAAGAGGGTTCCTTTTTCCCCGCATCCTCGCCAACACCTGTTGTTGGTGGTGTTGCTAATGATGGCTATTCTAACAGGGGTGAGGTGGAATCTTAGTTGGTTTTAATTTGCATTTCCTTTATTGCTAGAGATGGTGAGCATTTTTTCATGTGTTTTTGGCCATTTGAATTTCTTCTTTTGAGAAAGTTCTGTTTAGTTCACTTGCCCATTTCTTTATTGGTTCATTAGTTTTGGGAGAATTTAGTTTTTTAAGTTCCCTGTATATTCTGGTTATCAGTCCTTTGTCTGATGTGTATAGCTGGCAAATATTTTCTCCCACTCTGTGGGTGTTCTCTTCAGTTTAGAGACCATTTCTTTTGATGAACAGAAGCTTTTTAGTTTTATGAGGTCCCATTTATCTATGCTATCTCTTAGTTGCTGTGCTGCTGGGGTTTCATTGAGAAAGTTCTTACCTATACCTACTAACTCCAGAGTATTTCCTACTCTTTCCTATCAACTTAAGATGGTTCTGATATATAAGATCCTTGATCCATTTTGAGTTAATCTTGGTATAGGGTGATATACATGGATCTAGTTTCAGTTTTTTGCAGACTGCTAACCAGTTTTCCCAGCATTTTTGAAGAGGCTGCTATTTCTCCATCGTATATTTTTAGCTCCTTTGTCAAAAAGTTGTTATAGTTGTGTGGCTTCATATCTGGTCCTCTATTCTGTTCCACTGGTCTTCATGTCTGTTTTTGTGCCAGTACCATGCTGTTTTTATTGTTATTGCTTTGTAATATAGTTTGAAGTCAGGTATTGTGATACCTCCAGCATTGTTCTTTTTTTTTTTTTCCTGATTTTAATTTTATTTTAATATTTTTTAATATTTTTTTTTTTTTTTTATTATTCATATGTGCATACAAGGCTTGGGTCATTTCTCCCCCTGCCCCCACCCCCTCCCTTACCACCCACTCCGCCCCTCCCTCTCCCCCCACCCCCTCAATACCCAGCAGAAACTATTTTGCCCTTATTTCTAATTTTGTTGTAGAGAGAGTATAAGCAATAATAGGAAGGAACAAGGGTTTTTGCTGGTTGAGATAAGGATAACTATACAGGGCATTTGACTCACATTGATTTCCTGTGCGTGTGTGTTACCTTCTAGGTTAATTCTTTTTGATCTCACCTTTTCTCTAGTTTCTGGTCCCCTTTTCCTATTGGCCTCAGTTGCTTTTAAGGTTTCTGCTTTAGTTTCTCTGCGTTAAGGGCAACAAATGCTAGCAGGTTTTTCAGGTGTCTTACCTATCATCACCCCTCCCTTGTGTGCTCTCGCTTTTATCATGTGCTCAAGTCCAATCCCCTTGTTGTGTTTGCCCTTGATCTAATGTCCACATATGAGGGAGAACATACGATTTTTGGTCTTTTGGGCCAGGCTAACCTCACTCAGAATGATGTTCCAATTCCATCCATTTACCAGCGAATGATAACATTTCGTTCTTCTTCATGGCTGCATAAAATTCCATTGTGTATAGATACCACATTTTCTTAATCCATTCGTCAGTGGTGGGGCATCTTGGCTGTTTCCATAACTTGGCTATTGTGAATAGTGCCGCAATAAACATGGGTGTGCAGGTGCTTCTGGAGTAACCTGTGTCACAGTCTTTTGGGTATATCCCCAAGAGTGGTATTGCTGGATCAAATGGTAGATCAATTTAGCTTTTTTAAGTAGCCTCCAAATTTTTTCCAGAGTGGTTGTACTAGTTACATTCCCACCAACAGTGTAAGAGGGTTCCTTTTTCCCCACATCCTCGCCAACACCTGTTGTTGGTGGTGTTGCTAATGATGGCTATTCTAACAGGGGTGAGGTGGAATCTTAGGTGGTTTTAATTTGCATTTCCTTTATTGCTAGAGATGGTGAGCATTTTTTCATGTGTTTTTGGCCATTTGAATTTCTTCTTTTGAGAAAGTTCTGTTTAGTTCACTTGCCCATTTCTTTATTGGTTCATTAGTTTTGGGAGAATTTAATTTTTTAAGTTCCCTATATATTCTGGTTATCTGTCCTTTGTCTGATGTATAGTTGGCAAATATTTTCTCCCACTCTGTGGGTGTTTTCTTCAGTTTAGAGACCATTTATTTTGATGAGCAGAAGCTTTTTAGCTTTATGAAGTCCCATTTATCTGTGCTATCTCTTAGTTGCTGTGCTGCTGGGGTTTCGTTGAGAAAGTTCTTACCTATACCTACTAATTCCAGAGTATTTCCTACTCTTTCCTGTATCAACTTTAGAGTTTGTGGTCTGATAGTAAGATCCTTGATAGCATTGTTCTTTTGACTGAGTATTGCGTTGGCTATTCGTGGCCTCTTGTGTTTCCATATAAATTTAACGGTAGATTTTTCAATCTCTTGTAAATGAATGTTCATTGGAATTTGATGGGAATTGCATGTAAACATGTAGATTACTTTTGGGAGTTGTAGACAGTTTATTACTAGTTGATTTCTACCATCCATGAGCATGGGAGATCTCTCCACTTTCTATAGTCTTCCTCAATCTCTTTCTCAGAAGGTTATAGTGGTTCCTTGTAGAAGGTCGTTCACATCCTTTGTTTAGGTTTCCACCTAGGTATGATTTTTTTTTGAGGCTATTGTAAATGGAATTGTTGTCATATATTCTTTCTGTTTTTCATTATTTAGTGCATAGAAATGCTAATGATTTTTTCTATGTTGATTTTATATCCTGCTACTTTGCTAAGCTATTTGATGGTGTTCTAGGAGCTTTAGAGTATGAGTTTTTTGGGTCTTTAAGGCTATAGGGATCATGTCTTCTGCAAACAGTATATTTTGACAGTTTCTTTACCTATTTGCATTCCGTTTTTATTCCTTCCTTCTTTGCCTTATTGTCTGGTATGGAACTCAGTACTATGTTGAATAGGAGTGGGAGATAGTGGGCATCCTTGTCTAGTTCCTGATTTTTGACGTCGTGTCGTTTTTAAAGTTTACTCCATTAGCACCTCTGCAGGGGACATCAAACACTTGTAAGTTTTGGCGGTTTCCTAATTTTCTTCCTCCTGTATGTTGTCCCTCCCCTTAGCGTGTTGACCCCATGTCTATTATATACTGGCTTTTATTTTAGGTCTAAAGTCCGCGTATGAGGGAGAACATATGATTTTTTGGCCTTCTGAGCCTGGTTAACTTCACTTAAGATGATGTTCATACCAGTTCATCCATTTTTACTTGCGAATGACCAAGATTTGCATTCTTCTTCATTGGCTGAGTAAAAGTCCATTGTGTATAAATACCCACATTTTCTTAATATATTTGTC